TTAAAATGTGCTAGGAGATTAGGGTGAGAGTCAGGAAGTATAATGCTAACATTAAAAGATCACATTGGGCAATTTTAAACAATGGCCAGCCCTTATCTGCAGAGGATTCATTTTAGGAAATTCTGAATCTACCTTACCTCTTTATAAGAGCCCTGTATGCATAATTCTTTGTACACAGTCTTATGATAAGGTTTAACTTGGGAATTAGGCATAGTGAGACATTAGCAACACTAATAAAAATTGGGACATAGTATACAATTTGTTGTAAGCGTTTGCATATTTATCCCTACATTTTCTGCTTTTTAAGTCATGGTTAGCAAAATTTATGGACAGAAAAAAAATGTGTGTAAAAGGACCAAAGTAAACCAATCTCTGCTCCAGATACTGTGTCATCTTGTTTGCAATAACTCATTTTATCCTGTCAACTGACTGGCAGTGATGGGTGTTCCCAATGTAGCTAACTTCATAGATAAGAAAACTGAAATTTAAAATTATTTCCAAGGTCATCTCAGATATAAATGAACATACTGGAACCAGAACCTCTTAGTAGCTTGAAAGCCATCCAAATCTTCTGGTTCTACTGCACTGGCAAACTTCTCAGTGTTCATTCCCATTTTCCCATGTGCACACACTGAGAAAAATTCATTCTTTGGCTATGTCTTCACCATCACATCTGAACATAGTCTACGTGTAAAGTAACCATCCACAAAAGTCCAATGGGGAATGTCTCTGCTCCAAGGAAGAATAACTTCATTTTCAGATTGGTTATATTGATAAAACTGTACTCACCTTTCTTCAGGAGACATTAAGGAGGCACCTTATAAATTTATGGGAATTTAAAAAAAAATGGATCATCAAATGTTAAATGGATGGACACTGAAGACTGCAAATCCAACTCCCATATGCAAAAGGCATATAGAAAATGTGAGAAATTTTCCAGAAAAAAAGAAAGAAAGTGCATGGAGAAATCTGGTGACGAGTAGAATAGTTAGGATTCAAATGAATAGAAAAAAATCTTTCCAAGTTTAAAGAAGTCACATATATAAGATAAAGTCTGTTGAGACTAATTAATGAATATTTTAACTAAAAAGTAATAAATACAGAACAACTATAAGCTAACAATAATCCTTGAAATTGATGCTAGTTATATTTCATTATATAAACCATTTATTTCTGTTTAATTTTTGGAAAAGACTATAAAATAGTGTTCAATACTTAAGATTTTGGAATGATCTTGGTTCAAACTCTAACTCGGCAACTTGCTGTTATAACTACTTATCACTTGCAAAAAAAAAAAAAAATGAGGACGACAATACCTATCCACTGTCCTGGCAATATGCAAATCAGATGAGTTAAAATTCAAGACCCGGCCATACCACTCCTAGGCATATATCCAAAAGAGGCTCAAGTACACAAAAAGGACATTTGCTCAACCATGTTAGTAGCAGCTTTATTTGTAATAGCCAGAAGCTGGAAACAGCCCACATGCCCCTCAACTGAAGAATGGATACAGAAATTGTTGTACATCTACACAGTGGAATATTACCCAGCAATGAAAAATAAGGAAATCATGAAATTTGCAGGTAAATGGTGGGACCTGGAAAGGATCATCCTGAGTGAGCTGTCTCAGAAGCAGAAAGACACACATGGTATATACTCACTCATATAGACATATAATATAGGATAAACCTACTAAAATCTGTACATCTAAAGAAACTAATCAAGAGAGAGGACCCTGACTAAAATGCTCAATCCCCATCCCAAAAGGCAAAGAGGGTGGACACCAGAAGAAGAAGAAAACAGGAAACAAGTTAGGAACCTGCCACAGAGGGCCTCTGAAAGGTTTTGCCCTGTAGACTATCAAAGCAGATGCTGAGACTTATGACCAACTGTTGGGCAGAGTGCATGAAATCTTATGTAAGAAGTGGGAAATAGTAAGATCTGGAGAGGACAGGAACCCCACAAGGAGAGCAACAGAACCAGAAAATTTGAACACAGGGGTCTTCCCAGAGACTCATACTCCAACCAAGTACCAGGCATGGAGATAACCTAGAACCCCTGCACAGATGTAGCCCACGGCAATTTAGTGTTCAAGTGGGTTACACAGTAATGGGAAGAAGGACTGCCTCTGACATAAACTGATTGGCCTGCTCTTTGATCACCTCCCCTTGAGGGGGGAGCAGTCTTACCAGGCCACAGAAGATGAAAATACAGCCACTCCTGATGAGATTTGATAGACTAAGATCAGAAGGAAGGAGAGGGGGACCTCCCCTCTCAGTGGACTTGGGGAGGGGCATGCATGAAGAAGGGGGAAGGAAAGTGGGATTGGGAGGGGAGGAGGGAGGGGCTTATGGGGGATACAAAGTGAATAAAGTGTAATTAATAAAAAAATAAAATAAAATACTACCAGTGGAGAAAAAAATTAATGAAGTAATTTCCAAAACAGAAAATTATCTGGCATATAGTAAGTGATAAATTTGCTAAATTAAAGATAAAAATACATTGATGTAGATTAAAACAGACATTTCTGTCACTCAGAAATACCAGAAAGAGCAGCTTTATGGATCAAGATGTAAAATTACTATTCCTGTAATAGTAGATTAAAATATTTTAATAGATAATAATAATAATAACAATAATAATAATAGATTGTGTGAAGAAATAGCCAGCTATTTAGAGTAATCCAATAATAATGGAAAGAAAAAACATAAATATTTTGGTGTAATGTTTGTTCTATGAAAACAACTCACTTGAAAACCAGAAAGACAAAACCAGATATATAATCACCATCCATCACTAATTTTTCCAGTAAACCCAGTGCCTACTTCACTGTGAGAGAGAGAGAGAGAGAGAAACTTCTTGGAAATAGAAAGTGTGATTCTATCTTCATATTTAAAAAAAAATAACTAGAAAACACTACTGGTTAAAAATATTCTCATTAAAAAAAATCTTTTTGGTTTAGTTATGTAAATATTCTGTATTCGACGAACAGCAAAACCTTAAACCGAAGAAGGGGGTCATGTGAGGAGGGATGTTTGTGGAAGCGAGAGACTGGCATTGTGTGTCTTCTTCAATTACTCCTCATTGGTTTTTTTTTTATTATTATTATTCTCATTAGTTACATTTTGTTAATTCTGTATCCCAGCTGCATCCCTCATTCCCTCCCCAATCCCACCCTCCCTCCCTCATCTCCTCCCTGCCCCTTTCCAAGTCCACTGATAGGGGAGGACCTCCTCCCCTTTCATATGACTCCATTTTGTCAGGTATTTTCAGGACTGGCTGCAAAGTCCTCCTCTGTGGCCTAACAGGACTGCTCCTCCCTTGGGAGGTGGGGAGGTCAAACAGCCTGCCATTGAGTTCCTGTTAGAAATAGTCCTTGTTCCCCTCACTATGGGAAAGCAATTGATTACTGAGCTATCCTCATTGTTTTTGAGCTGGGTCTTCTCTCTGAAAATGGACTGAGTTGATTCTGCTGAACTATCTGGCCAATACACTTTAGGAGTGCTCTTCTCTCTCCTTCCCAAACTCTGGGATTAAGGGTGTTTATCGGATGGATGCTGGGGATCAGGCTCAGATCCTTATATATGCATAACAAGCAGTTTACTGCCCACGCCATCTTCCCAACACCAAACTAAACATTTTTGAACAATACATAAGTCTGTATTGTTAGACTTTAACAGATCTGCTAATGAGTAAAGAATTCACGTTTCCTTGCTAACTGAGAGTGGGTCCCTCTCTAAGCATCTGCCATGTTCTCTATGACACCTAACGCTTGTGTAGTTGAGAACCTGGAGCATTATAGGTTGAATGAAAGAATATATTCACAAATTATACAAAACAAAAGGTCTTAGAAGCTACAGTGTAATTAATTTAAGAGTAGACAAACTGATGGCCACTGAAATTAAAATCTCAGATAAACAATGAGTAACTCGAAATTGCAATTAATGACTGCAATCCAAAATTCTTATTTCACTGGTTGGCATGCACTTTTTTTTATTTTCTATATCTGATAATGCCAATCTACTTATTGTAATACATTAAAGTTTACACATTTATTCAGTTGGTCATTAATTGATAAGCTTTTATTGGCCATTAAAAACTACTAAATGTTGTATTGGTTGTTAAAATGTTCTAGTAATAGTTTTATGCTCCAGGGACTCAGCAATAAATAACCTTGTTAGATTCTCGATTCCTTAAGTGTTTATTTCAGTAATAATTTATTAGGTTAGTTGTTAATTTTGCTGACATCTCGTTAAAGTGCCAAGTAATTTTGATTAGTAAGTGTTATTGAGAAAAATCAAGAGAGTGACAAAGTTGAGGGGGAATCAAAAACCATCATGGTTGGAGGGTGCAGGACAGTACTATTAACGATGCAGACATGCCCTTCATGAAAAGAGCTAGGAAAAGGACGTGAAAGGAAGGAGCCGCCCACACAAAGGACCTTGGGCGGGAGTAAATTTGACCCCCAGAGGGCAAGTGTGGAGAACCATCTGAGTGTAGTCAGCGTTGAGTTGGGGGATGGTAGAAGCGTGACACTAGAAGGGCCAGGGGCTGAAACAAAGGCCAGATGTTGCAGGAAGTTCCATCCCACGAGGCAGCACTTGCCTGTCGTTCTTGTTAGACATTTGGATTTGGTTCAGGCGAGAATGACAACCGACAGGGTGCCTAAGGTGAGAAGTGAAATGAATTGGAGTATTTCCAGAAGTCTCCTTGCAATGGTACTGGGAGTGGGGAGAGGGAGAGAGGATTGGTACGTGAAGAGAAAGGTGGACACAGTAGGCAGAGGGTGACAGACTGAGAGCAGCCTGGTAAAGTAGATGAACAACAGGAGGCATACTCTGAGTGTCAACTCCACAGCACTTTATGAATGTATTGTACTCTGGCTCACAGAAGGGCCATGAGAGAAGGGGAAAATTCCACCAGTTTCAAACTTCAAGATGTACTGGTTCCATTTGTCCTATTTACAAAAATAGATTGTCTTCTGTGTCTTTCACCCTCAGTTGCCTATATTGGCATCATCGGTGGTTAGCCTCTACTTTCTGGAACTCACAGATGTCTTCAAACCTGTGCACTCTGGATTCAGTTGCTATGACAGGAGTCTCAGCATGCCATACATTGAGCCAACCCAGGAGGCCATTCCATTCCTCATGTTGCTTAGCTTGGCTTTTGCTGGACCTGCAATTACGGTAAGAATTGAACCTCAAAATTGCATTGTTCAGTCTCAAAAAACAAAAGATGACCCAGTTTGTATAGTATGTGTGCTAATGAAAAACAAAGAAAGAAATAAAAGAGTGAAATTTAACCAGTGAGTCACTGGTAAAAGTATTTATTCATTAAGCTATCTTACAGAGTCCCTTGGAAAATGCCTAATTGTTTTGTTCCCTATCAGGACCATTTATCACACGATGCTTCTTCTCCTGACACTGTTGCTTGTACTGGGGACAGTGACATTGGCCTTGTCACAATGTTTCTACTTCTATTGACTCCCTTCTGATCACAAACTCTCAATAGAAAACTTAGGGATGTTTCCCAGGGTATTAGTTCGGGCCTGAAGACCTGAGAAATCGAAGGAGCTCCACCACCCTCTCACTGAGCAGACCTGGGGAGCAAGGGGCCACTGCCTTCCATGGGGCATTTCTGAATGGCCTCCACCCTTAATGCTTCTTAGTATAAAGAGAAGCAAATCAGGAACTGCTTATTACTGGGGGTGTTGTTTATTCCTTGAAGGCTTCCAACTCATCTGATTTTTTTTCTTCCACAGTGGTTTCATAGACCCCAAGGGAACAACTCAGTGTTGACAGGAGCATTGGCATTGCTGATGAATGAAAGAATCCTATACTCCTCCCTCTCCAAATATACTTAATTCTTCTAGCTTTGTTCTGATGTCATTTTTCTTTCTGTTTTTAAGGCCTTCACTCTAAACAAGTGTTTTTCTCGGCATCCATTCTGTGGCAAGCAGAGACATTAAAGGATCATAATCCTGTCTATACTGTTACTACAACCTGAACTTCTACCTCCTTCCCATTCATAAAAGTGAAAATTAACAGACTCTAATCTCTGACCATCAAAAACACTGGTTTTCTTTTCATCTTTGTAACTGCATAAACATATCACAAAACTGGGATCTTCCTGGCACGTAGGAAGACAAGATATAGCTTCACTTGGCTAGATTTTGGAGCAGACTGGTGTAAGTAGAGGGTTAACTATAGAACAGAGAACCTAGCATATCCCCATGTCTCCTTTGAAGTAATAACATTGGAGAGTATTAGTCAGAAAGAATACTTAGTTAATTCAGTATTGAATGATACGAGATAAATTTTGCTCTATCGTTTCTGTTCCCTATTGACTTTAAAGTGAGTTATTGCACCAGGTGATACTTATGTTTGGCTTATTTTCAAAATTCCTTGAAGAACAGTATATCAAAATTTTATATGAAAATAAACAGTAATTACAATGATATGTGTACCACATTACCTAAACAACTAAATATAACTAAGGGAGCTATAATTTTAAGCATTTTGTAAAACAAATAATAAGATTTTAATGAGAACTGAGAAGCTTACCCAGAAACATCTAACCCTAGCCATTGCCCAATCCTAAGTACATTCATAATCATTACAGTGACATGACCTACTCTATCTGAGGGACTATTACTCTCCTGAAACCCTAATTTCCTCAACTCTACATATGTAAGATCACTAACTTTCACAATTTAATTTAGAAATATATTAGGGACAAATATTTGACATATTTTTGATAAATAAAAGTCACAAATCAAATCTTGTTTGTATTATAAGTAACAACTCAGAATTCCAGAGTAGTTAGCACAATAAAAACACAAATCCCTGTGTTCAAATTTTCTGGAAATTTTGAACACAGCGGTCTTTCCAAAGACTCATACTCCAACCAAGTACCAGGCATGAAGAAAACCTAGAATCCCTGCACAGATGTAGCCCATGGCAGTTCAGTGTCCAAGTGGATTCCATAGTAATGGGAACAGGGACTGCCTCCGACATAATCTGATTGGCCTGCTCTTTGATCACCTCCCCCTGAGGGGGGAGCAGCCTTACCAGGCCACAGAAGATGACAATGCAGCCATTCCTGATGAGATCTGATAGACTAAGATCAGAAGGAAGGAGAGGGGGACCTCCCTTATCAGTGAACTTGGGGAGGGGCATGCGTGAAGAAGGGGGAGGGAAGGTGGGATTAGGAGGGAAGAAGGGAGGGGCTTATGGGGGGATACAAAGTGAATAAAGTGTAACTAATAAAAGTTTAAAAAAAGAAAAAGACAGAAATATTAAAAAATCTCATATTTTCAGGCATGATGCTTAAAATAAGGATAACTAAGAAGTGGCTCTTCCCTTGGAGGGTCCTAGATTAAGGAGAGACAGTCCAATGAATGAGTAGCACATAATTCAATAAAGCTACTCTAAGGAGGATGACAAGGTACTAAGGGAATGACATAGAAGGTAATGCAATTCGTGTTAGGGTATAGTAAGAGAATTAAAAAAGAAAAAAACTCCCCGAATGGAAAGGTACCTAAATAACAACAAACTCCTTCACTGATGTTATATTGCTTAAAGTCCCACAGCAAACTCCACTGTTTATATCTTAAAATGCTCCTGATACTGCAGTACGGTTCTTTATCTCCTGTAAACGTGTACTCTGAAAGCTTAACCCTGGGAAAGACTACCCAAGTATCTAGACTTTTCCTGTCATCTGCATTCTCCAATAGGCTAGCCACTCACCATGTGCCTTTTTCAAGGCTAATTATATTTAGGTTAAAAATTTTAATATAGTACTATTAACATTAAATATTTGATTCAGTGCCTACATTTCCAGTTCTTAGCACCTACAAGTGAGTGGTAGCTAACATCTTAGCCAATACAGGACAAACCCTAGAGAAATGTGTGCAGAATGACTATCCTCAATGTACTTCTATACCCTGACCTTTCCTCCTGCTAAATTAAAAATCATTTAACTGACCAAATCTGTTTGTCAAATGTTCCTTGTTTGTCAAATGTTCCTTATCCTAACTCTATACTTACTTAATTTCTCTAAGGTATTTTGGGATTGATGTCAAGAGTCTCAGAGTTAAAGCAGAATCGGTCTCTATAGTTGACTGAACTGAATCCCTTTGTGTGATGTGCAAAAGGCTAAAGGCACATTGCTGTAATCAGATTGAAATTCTGAGATTTTTTTCACACCTTTGACCAATGTGCAGGAGTAGACAAGATCCAGCCAGGCCTCTTTATGGTGCCTCATTGGTTTTTTTGGTGGTGGTGGTGGTGGTGGTGGTGGTGGTGGTGGTGGTGGTTTTAACGCTTGTTAAATTCCCAGAAGAAATTGCTTACGCATCTGAAGTGTTGATAAAAACACATCTTCTCTCTGTGGAATAGGTGATGTGTGAGGGGGTGGCGCATAATTTACAAGTGTTAGTGTTTGGGTATAGTGATACTCTCGCTGACACCATGTGGCCTTTGCAGATCATGGTGGGAGAAGGGATTCTATACTGCTGCCTCTCCAAAAGAAGAAACGGAGCTGGATTGGAGCCCAACATCAACGCGGGGGGTTGCAACTTCAACTCCTTCCTCAGAAGAGCCGTCAGATTTGTTGGTGGGTGTGAGGAGCCGAAAAGAAAGGAAATATTTTTCCTCACAGAAATGCTATGTCTAATTACAGATATTAAGCCCTTAAAGCTGTAATTTAGATGTATACGTTCAGTATGTGGTGAGTTTTACATTATACGTGAAACTTTAAAAGAAAAACAGAATATACTCTCTGTCATTATTTAGAGTCATGGCCCCGGTCTTGTGTGCTAGCATGTCACACATTTCAGGGCATTTTGCCAAAATTTGGCTCAAGCATAAATTTACTTTAAGATAGTTTCACAAAGTGTAAGTTTTAAGTTTTTATTTTTATTTTCCCAGAGCAGAAGGAAACAGTAGAGGCAGGAGGAAGGAGCAGAGACAATGTCCATGTAGCCCTGAATGGCCTCCAATTACTGTGTTACTGAGACTGGCCTTGAACTCCTCAGCCTCCTGCTTCTGTCTCCCAGGTGCTAGAATTACAGGTGTTTGGCACCATGCCGTATATTTTTTTAAAGAAGTATAAGTGTCAGAAGGCCATCATTAATGCTTCAGAAATTAATTTATTCACATAAGAGAGTCTGTTTCTTGGTGGTTTTTATCCAGAAGTCACAGGGCATAGAAATGTTACCATAGACCAGTGTATCATGGTTACTTTTTGTTGGTTAGAGTCACCTATTCATCCCTCTCCTTTACCTTAAATTTTTTATTAAGTCTATAAGAAAATTACAGGCCTTACTAGGCAGTGTCTGAATCATACTAATTCCTAAATCAAAATTAGCATGGGACCATATTAATGTAGTCTTTTACCTTTTTTCCTTCGGATTTAAGCAGTCATCTACAATACCAGAAACCAACCTAAATGTTTTATATTCATTCCCATAAGGCAATATAAGGTTATTTTTACATTATATTGTTATTACCTTGTTATTTTATTATATTGATATATTATATTATTTTACCTTATATTATTTCACCTTATATGTGATAGCATGTCAGCAAAAAGAAATTGGCAGCTTCATGTAATATTTCATAAATAATTAAATTAAGTCTTTTCTCCCAGGACCAAAAAAAAAAAAAAAAAAAAAATGCTGACTCTAAATCATTCCCCAAATTCTGCTCTTTGAAGTTATCTTCTTATCATCATATTGATATGGTTAAAAAAAAAAAAGCAGTCTTCTTAGAAACATTTGAAACAAAGTAATAGAACTCAAAGAGCCAGAGCCGAACACAGAGATATATTTCCATAATATAATTCTATGAATTATATTCTATAGAATATAGAATATAATTATATAGAATATAATTCTATGGACAAAGAGGTGTGTATTATGAAATGCTGTCAGCAACCTCGTCTTCCCTGAGCCTGGATAATCCCATTTTTTAAAGATAAAAATAAATTGATTCCTTTATTATTCAGTCTTTACCCAGGCCATGCAAGTCTCATATCACACTGCCAGTTCTTTGTGTTCAACAGACAGTGATCTATTTACACACTCTTAAAATTGAATCCCAGGACAGCTGGAGAGATGGCTAAGTAGTTATGAGAGCTTGCTGCTCTTCCAGAGAACTGGAGTTAGGTTCTGAGCACCCATATTTGGTAGCTTACAACAGCCTGTAACTCCAGTTCTGGGAAGTCTGACACCTTTCCCAATCTCCATGAGCATTCTCTCACTATTGTGCATACTCACACACCTACGCAAAAATTAAAAAAAAAAAAAGAACAGGCCTTATTCATGCTTCTAGGAACTGGAACACAGAGATCAGCTTTCTGTGTCATACATCCCTGGTGTCATCCAAAAAGGAACTAGGGCTGTGGCAGTGTGTTCAACCAGCTCTCGGTCTAGGGGTGGTTAAGGGGTGCCTCTCAGAATGACTGCTGTGAGTAACTCATGTATCAGAATCCAAGCAATTGAGCCAGAATAAAAATGCAGGGGGCCAGACAGCCCAGGAGAGGTAGGCAAGTTCTAGATCAGATATATCTTAGAAGAAATTACTCACAAGATGAGCCAATCAAGAGATTCAAACAGGCCTAGAGTTTGGTCCCAGGAGATAAAATTGGAATTTTGGCAGGATATATAACATCATGACCAAATAAGGCAGCTCCCACAGCTACCCAGGCTAGAACTACTGCTGGTTATTAGGACAAAGCCTGCTTTCCTCCTTCTTTGCTTAATTGGCATTGTTAGCAGGGCTGTGCTTCATAGAGAACGAGAATATGGATTCTGAGGGGTTAGTACCTATGCCTAGAATTATAGACCATAATGAGGAAAAGAATCCCAACAACACAGAAATGCTCAGAACTTTGACATTAGTTTTTTTTAATTTGTTGTGTACATTTTATTACAAATTTAGATAACTTTAAATTTGAATTTGTTCTTTGACAGTCTTATACATAGATTTAATGCATACTGACTTCTCTCACCTCCTGCTTTGCTTTTTTTTTTAATCAGTTACATTTTATTAACTCTGTATCCCAGCTGTATCCCGCTCCCTCATTTCCTCCCAATCCCACCCTCCCTCCCTCATCTCCACCGTGCCCCTTTCCAAGTCCACTGATAGGGGGGACCTCCTCCCCATTCATCTGATCCTGTTTTATCAGGTATCTTCAGGACTGGCTGCAAAGCTCTCCTCTGTGGCCTAACAGGACTGCTCCTCCCTTGGGGGGTGGGGAGGTCAAAGAGCCAGTCATTGAGTTCCTGTTAGAAATAGTCCTTGTTCCCCTTACTATGGGAAACCAATTGGTTACTGAGCTACCACAGGCTATATCCGAGCAGAGGTTCTAGGTTATATCCATACATGGTCCTTGGTTGAATGTCAGTCTCAGAAAAGTCCCTGTGCCCAGATATATTTGGTTCTTGTGGAGCTCCTATCCTTTCCCCATCATACTAACTCCCCTTCTTTCATATAATTCCCTGTACTCTGCCGAAGGTTTGGTCATGAGTCTTTGTATCTGCTTTGAAAACACTGCTAGTTATCTCCTTCCCATCCTGGTCAAATCTTCCTCCTCCTAAAAGTTCTTTTTCACATTACTGAACTATTTAGCTACTGATGGATCTGGGGCAGGAGTAGTCACTGTCTTAGTTGTAAATTTTTCAGGTTCCATTGAACAGTTCCAAACCTATGACCATACAGATGTAGCCTGAATAAATTTGATTGATCACAAAACAAAATGAATTTAAAAGTTTTTTTTTTAATTCTATTGCATTTTTTCACAGCCTGTTCCTTTCTAATCATTCCTCAGCTTTCCCTAGGTAGATGACAAGTGATCTCTGGTACATCATGTTAAGAATTGACTTTAGACACTGGAAACATGTATCATCAAATAAAAGCACCCACTACTTTTGCTGAGGATCCGTGTTGTTTTTAGCACCCACATCAGGCCACTCACAACTGCTTGTCACTCGATCTCTCAACATCTGGCACATTCTTCTGTGCTTTGTAGGCACCTGTACTCACAGGTGCACAGACCTACATACAGGCACACTTGATTAAAAACAAATATTTACATGTAAAAGATGTACTCCCAGTTAACAAGAGTTACTATAGTACAGTTACTACTTGAGCGATTCAAAATGTTACTATGTTGCCCTTAAATATCAGCTTAGAAGTTTGGAAAATGTCTATATTATCTGCCAAAATTATCTTAGAGAAAATGACAGCATATTATACAGTCAATGTATGCGTGTGCAGTAAAGATGATTAACACTAACAGAAGCTCAGCTTTGGCCATCAACTCAGTAACAGTGTTTTCCATTTCCCTTCTAGGTGTCCACGTGTTTGGACTGTGCTCCACGGCTCTCATTACAGATATCATACAGCTGTCCACAGGATATCAGGCACCGTACTTTCTGACTGTGTGCAAGCCAAACTATACCTCTCTGAATGTATCCTGCAAAGAAAATTCCTACATCGTGGAAGATATTTGTTCAGGATCTGACCTTACAGTTATCAACAGTGGCAGGTTGAAAAAAACAGAGCTTTAAAACTATTCCATGCTATTATTCGTATAATGCTGTCATTGCACCATCTACACATGCCATTTTCAGTCACAACAGTTTTTATTTACTTATATTCTCAAGGCAACAATCTCTTCAGTGACTGAAACACAGAGATCTGCTAATGACTTGCTCCAAATCCTTCTCTTAAAGTCTCGGAATTTTATTTCACATTCTGGTTACAAGCCCACCCTTCACTGAACTCATATTTTGTGTTCTACCACAGTTGGTTTACGGTATTAATGATCCATTACTGCCGACAGTCAATATGCATATTAGACTCATGTCAAATACCCAACATCTGTGTTATATCGCTTCTTTATCTTTTATTTTAAAAATTACATAAATTTTGCTCTTCTCAAGTTTACAAAGGAGTAACATCTCTTTTCTTTGAATGAACACAGAAATGTTAAACAGCTCCTGACTTTACATTTCAGAAAGTTAAGAACATGAAAACCCAAGAAACTACTAGTACATTTTTTTTTTCAATTAACAAAATAAAATAAACTTATTAGACAAGAGACCGTTCCTGAGATATTAAAAATAAAGTAAGTGAAAAGATGCAAAACACTGAATAATTATTATGAAAACTGGATTTGTTATTTAGTGACTTCTCAAGAAAGCAAATTCCTATGAACCATTCAGTAATCTTGAATCTATGGTGAAGAACTGTGGCCTGTTTTCTTTCTCAATTCTTCTATATATTCTTGTTTGTGTTGATTAGCAAGTATCAAATAATTATAAAAACAATAATATATTACTCTTCTCCTATTGAAAGAAATTTCTAATCCCTTTGTGTGTGTGTGTGTGTGTGTGTGTGTGTGTGTGTGTATGTGTGTCCTTTTCTGTGTGTGAGAAAATTCTCTGTTGTTTTAGAGGTAAGTCATATCTTAGTGAGCTAAGCGGAGAAACAGTTCGTTAAAACTGGACTTTTCTTATATATTTTACAGCCTAAAAATACATTAAGATCTACTGGTATGGGAAAATAATTTCATCATTTAATGAAATGAAACTATCTTGGAGCATTAAAAAAAAAGGTTTAAAATAGCAAAACCCAAATTTTATGAATTTTCACAATGAGCTGATACAGTTGTAAACAAAGAGTACTTATGCTTCCCAAACCATTTCAGAGTTCATCTCACATGTTCCTTTGCCAACCTGATACTTATTTTATATTTTGTTTCATTTTAACTTTTACTAAAAGTACATCACCATATTCTTTAATGCTAATGATGACCAGCAGTGCTCCTGAGGATAGTAAATCACTCTGCTTTTCTCAGTAAACTAAACATAAATTAAGGTTATTGCTTCTTGCTTTGTGCCTTTGAGTATAAAATCTTATGCTGAGCTGTTGAGGTTGCTGGTAGCACATTCAAGCTAAAATGCATAACCTGGCTGTCTTCCTTCGGCAGAAAGTCATTCCCGTCCCAACACGCGACCCTCGCTGCCTTTGCTGCTGTGTATGTGTCAGTAAGTATGGTTTCCTCGTTGTTAAATTGTGACCTGTAGAAAAGCTGAGGAAAGAGTGTTTTCTTCAGGAGACTAATTAGATCGTAATTTAGTTCTGCCTCCCTTTAATACAACAGCATCTAAAGCAATTATCATATGCTACTTTAAAAAAAAAAGGTATAATCAAAGAATTTTTTTCACAGAGAGTCAGAATACTTGTTTAACCTTGGGCCATTTTAATGCAATACTTGGAGGGAAGATATTTATGAAATACACAAATATAAAAGAAACCAAAACCAAAGGGCTTTTATTAATGGTACAAAAGCACAGGCAAGAACGTAGCTTTCAGTATTTACGTAACAATGGTGAGTTCTAGGTCACTGTCAATTTGGTAAGTGTTAGGGCCCTTGTGTTTGGTTGACACCACAGCCTATGTATTCTTTTATGAAACAAGTGAACCAAAACTTTGTGGTAAATAAGAGGGAGATTAGGACTCACTGGCCAAACCTATATTGCCTCAGTGTTTTTCAAACTTTCCTGCAATTAAATGAGAGCTCAGGTGATTATTTTGAGTGTCATCAATACATCACCGTCCTTGGCAAGCTGAGAACTTTGCCCTGACCAGGGGAATGGGAGAAAGTTTAGCAGAGTGTGTCAGTCCGACTTTTGAGTTGAACTTTTTGTTTGCTTGGACTTCTCTGACACGATGGCCTTGCTAGCACACTTAACCCACTTCTCTCCTTTTAAAGATGTACTTCAATTCCACATTAACCGATTCCTCTAAGCTCCTGAAACCTCTCTTGGTCTTCACATTTATCATCTGCGGAATCATCTGTGGGCTAACAAGGATAACTCAGTATAAGAACCATCCAGTCGATGTCTATTGTGGCTTTTTAATAGGAGGAGGAATCGCACTGTATTTGGTAAATAACATTATTATTATTTGGTGAAGTACAGTTTAAGATGGAAAGGTATGCATAGAATAATTTGTACAATAAGCTATTCATGATGTATTTTATATTCATGAGAAAAAATCTTAGGGTGCATCTTCATTCTAAGCCAAATTATACTCTACTTCCAATAATGTGATTTAGTGACTTCTTCTTATAAGCCAGAATTGATTTGAGAATTATCGTATTTCATTTTTTAAGAAACACACAGAGAGATATACCATGCACATTGAAATTTTACGCATAAGGAAAGTGGAGAAAAGTAAAAGGAGGGATGCTATAATTTTCCCAACAACACAAATGTAGCACTTTCCTGATTTTTTTAATCATTATCTCTCAAACATGCTAAATATCTTCAAGAAAAGTATCTGCATTATAAGTAAATTGGTAGTGCCTATTGAACTCAGTCATGCATTCACACTTTCATCTATCTTACTTATTCATTATCTGTCTATTGCCATCCTCCATAAAACAAAGGAAAACAAGATGCACCCCTCAGGATCTCACCGTGTAAGAATAGGCCATCAGAACCAATGGTTACAACATGCTTAATGATGGATGTGGTTCCTTGCATATGGGAAACTGCTAAAGGAACAGCAAGTAGCATTTCTAGAAACGATATGATTTTTAAGAAGAATATTTTCTTAAGGATAAGAGAGTAGAAAGCACATTCAAGGGGAAGAGATTATCATTCCAAAAGATAAACACAAGGAAGAGCAACCTGGACAGAAGGGAAGAATTAACAGCCAAGTTTGCAGTTTGTAGAACTAGATATTTGATGGCCACGTTAGTAGAGCAGGTAAATAATCAAGCTAATATATGGCTGAAGAGAATGACATTGAGGGGTTCATGATGACTCCAAAGGCACTTAAATAGTTATGTCTGAAGGACAGAGGGCCATGAGTCCTTCGGAAGCCAGGGACATTACTTATAAACATATCATTGTAGTTAGTCAAGGGATGCAAAATGGCCAGGTCACAGCATGAAAAAGAGCCAAGAATAACGAATATGCAGGTGACAGACAGGAACAGACAACAAAAAGGAAACTAAGAGGGGCAGAAATAAAAGTCAGTTGCCCATAGCCAGAGTCCTCAGTCACGTGATCTCAGTGCTTCTAAGAATGGAATTAAAAATAAAAGATAAAAAAAAAATCATGAAAAAGAAATATTTCTGCTGAAGTGTGCAATGATTTCCTCTTTTATAAAAAAAAAAAAAAGCAGAGCCAGTGATGAAACTTTAAATTTTCCTCTTACGCGCTTTCTTCAGCAGAGAGGAAAGTGAGCACATTACAGTCAGCCGGTAATAACAGCACACATGCCAGGGTATTACTGCTGACTGGCAAAAGAAAGGGAAAAGAGCTTCTCACTCCTTCGTTCATGCGTTTCCATCCCACCTGTGTGAAATCATTGGTACCTGGACATTCACGTGAGCTTGACAACCAACCCAAAGGCTGTGGGGATGAAGTTCAACACTCCCTAGCCACTCAGAAATGTGATTCTTTACCTATAGAATGAAGATATTAAAGTAGAAGTGTAGCTCAGTCGTAGAGCACACAAGCTCTTGGTTAGATTCCCAGTACCACAAAAGTTAACTGGCTAACTGATTAAAAATAATAACAGCTTGTTCCGTATTTCTTTCAAAATAAGAATCAAATAACGATATTACCATCATGAGAACTGAATATTACACAGTAGGGTCAGAACTTTACGTTTAGTGGCTGATTTCCCTAAACTTACAAAGGTAATAGAACATTTGTAATTAATAGAACATTAGGAAGTCTGGGTGGCAAGAGCATGGGTAGACAGTATTTCAAAGAACAGACTGATAGGATAGCCAGGCAGAGTTCACTCCTGTAACCTTAAGAGAGTGAAGCAGGAGAAATGCAAATTTAAGGCCAGCCTGATCTACCTAACAAAACCTCAAAAAACTCAGTCTAAATATGATATGTGCCTAAAATCCTAGCCCTTGAGAGGCAGAGACAGGTAACAGCTGCAGGTTTGGGGCCTCGCCTACATAACATATTCCAGGCCAAGTGGGTCGACCTAGCGAAATCCTGTCTACACACAGGCAGAAGGTGGGGGAGCGTGTGTTCTATTTGAAACATTATGATTCCTAAGCAAATGCTGCTCCTCAGTGTGCAAACATGCTATGAAATACTAAAACCATGAAACTGCATTACTTAGACTTAAAAAGTAGACCCGGCCACCTTCAATTGAAATTATCTCACAGGCAAACACTGCTTTGCCATCTTATCTCTGAAAATCCAGCAGACGTTAGATCTCCTGTAATTAGGGTAACAATTTTGAAACAGAAACTTAACCTTTTCCAAATCTAAAACAAATGAAAAATGATGGACTAAATATAAAGACTAAATTAAAAAATAATGGCTTACATTTGGTATAAAGCAGTCATTTAATCCAACCTTCCCACTTGAAGGTCAAGTTTAAAGGAGACAGGCAAGGCTAAAGGCAGTGTGATTTCCAATACCGTATATGTCTCCTGCCCTCACTTCCGAACCCCACAGCATTTTTATGAATGATCCATTGTTCTATATTTCCCTGCAGCTCCCTGTTTGCCATCAGAAAGTAAGATTGAAAATGGAAGGGAACATAAAGCATTCAAGCTTCTCAGGCTGTCACTCAAAAAGAAGCTACTGAGTTCAGAAAAAAAAATGAATTGGAAAGCAGAAACATGTCTTTACTTCTCTCATTTTCTATCTTTGCTTTTCAAAACACAGACAGTGTGCCAACGTCTTCTGGTCCATCCCAGTTAGTTCTGAGCAGTTAGTTCAATGAGCTAGATAGTTACAAGACTCTGCCCCGCCCGGGTAATTGTACTTTTCATCGTTTTTATTGGTCCGTGGTGGCTTATGCAGTGTCTGCCTCAGTTATGTGTTCTAAGAGAACCATGATTAATAGCGCCTTCTAGTATGTGATACCTGTATTTTTGTCCTTGAACACCAGGGCCTGTATGCCGTGGGGAATTTTCTGCCTAGTGAAGACAGTATGCTGCAGCATAGAGATGCCCTCAGGTCACTGACAGACCTCAATCAAGACCCCAGCAGGGTTTTATCAGCTAAAAATGGTAGCAGCAGCGATGGAATTGCTCACACAGAGGGCATCCTCAACCGAAACCACAGGGATGCGAGCTCCTTAACAAATCTCAAGAGGGCCAACGCTGATGTAGAAATCATCACTCCCAGGAGCCCTATGGGGAAGGAGAGCATGGTGACCTTCAGCAACACGCTGCCCAGAGCCAACACCCCCTCCGTGGAAGACCCAGTGAGAAGAAACGCTAGCATCCACGCCTCCATGGATTCTGCCCGGTCCAAGCAGCTTCTTACCCAGTGGAAGAGCAAGAACGAGAGTCGCAAGATGTCCCTGCAAGTTATGGACACTGAGCCCGAAGGGCAATCACCACCCAGGTCCATAGAAATGAGGTCCAGCTCAGAGCCCTCAAGAGTTGGGGTGAATGGAGACCATCACGTCCCTGGCAATCAGTACCTCAAGATCCAGCCTGGCACGGTCCCCGGATGCAACAACAGCATGCCTGGTGGGCCGCGTGTGTCCATCCAGTCCCGCCCCGGCTCCTCCCAACTGGTGCACATCCCCGAGGAGACCCAGGAAAACATAAGCACCTCGCCCAAGAGCAGCTCTGCCCGGGCCAAGTGGCTGAAAGCTGCCGAGAAGACAGTGGCCTGTAACCGGAGCAACAACCAGCCGCGCATCATGCAAGTCATCGCCATGTCCAAGCAGCAGGGCGTGCTGCAGAGCAGCCCCAAGAACGCTGAGGGTAGCACGGTGACCTGCACAGGCTCCATCCGCTACAAAACCCTGACAGACCACGAGCCGGGCGGCATCGTGCGGGTGGAGGCCCACCCCGAGAACAACAGGCCCATCATCCAGATCCCGTCCACCGAGGGCGAAGGCAGCGGCTCGTGGAAGTGGAAAGCTCCGGAGAAGAGCAGCCTGCGCCAAACCTACGAGCTCAACGACCTCAACCGGGACTCGGAGAGCTGCGAGTCCCTCAAAGACAGCTTTGGTTCCGGAGATCGCAAGAGAAGCAACATCGACAGCAACGAACACCACCACCACGGCATCACCACCATCCGAGTGACGCCGGTGGAGGGCAGCGAGATAGGCTCAGAGACGCTGTCTGTGTCCTCCTCCCGCGACTCCACCCTGCGCAGGAAGGGCAACATTATCCTGATCCCCGAAAGAAGCAACAGCCCTGAAAACACAAGAAACATCTTCTACAAAGGAACCTCTCCCACTCGGGCTTATAAGGATTGAGCGATGGCCCGTCTTGCCATCATTTCGGTGACACACACACACACACACACACACACACACACACACCCCAAGACCACACGTTTATCCTACCTGGGCTCTTTTGTTTTTTGGGTTTGGGGCTTCTTCCTTTTTTCTTTCTCTTTCCTTTTTTTTTTTTTTTTTTCTGGAGGATTTGGAACGCCTTTTTGCCCAACTAAGTTGTTCACCATCAGCCTGGAACTCTCACCGAACTACCACATAAACTGTGGCGATTTTACACCAAGGGAAAGGAAAAGCACAAAGCAAGATCCAAGCTAATATCATCATCCAAACAGTTCTTAAGACCTGTCACTGAGGCTTCGCAGCAGGCAGTGTATCGAGACAAAGCAGATCCCTTCGATGTATAGTATTTGACTTTCTGAATGTGCCAACTTTGGAATTTTTTTTTTCATTGTAATTAGCTGTGGGGAATCCAACACACACAGGTTCCCCCAACAACAGAGGCCATGCGGTATTATATATTATTCATTTTCGCAGACTCTGCACCAGAAGCGCAGACTGGGCGGTGCTGATTATCATAAGTGCATATACCTTGTAAACTCTCAAACTCTACTGGCTGTGAAATAGTGGTGTGCAGGCCCTCGTCGGAGAAATGCTACTTTATTCAGAAGATGCCGGCTACCTTTGTGTTAGAATAGACCGTCGTGGCTTCCCTGTAGCAGCTCTCTCACAGTCAACAAGAAAAAAAAAAGAAGAAGAGAAACTGGAAAGGGTTCTGTGCATTTCATTTCTTTGGAAAATGTTTGTTTTTTTTTTTTTCGACATCTGAAAGTCCTTAGAATGTTTTCAGTGAAAGAGGATAACTAGGTCTCTGCATCATTCTTCTGCTTTTTATTTAAGTATTGGTAATGCTGATTTCTGGCATTTTTAGTGAGTGTATTTGCATACTTAAACACATTGTTTTAGAGAATATTTTAAAATTACTGTGATTATATTTTCGATTTTATGGCTTCTCCTTACTTTATTACTTTTTTTTGAGGTTAAACATATGTTCTTCTATTTTAAGAAAGCAAAAGTGACTATTTACATTCCTTGTGCAAAATACACTGCTGTGAAGTCATAAACCTGAGCCAATGGTTGAAACTGTGGGTTCCGTTGCCAGATACATTGGTCAAGTTCAAGATGTCTCCAACACGATGGCATAGTTAACACCTTACTTACATCAGTAAGTAATCCCAACACTCCATTTTGTTCCAGGGCATTTTGTTTCTGCATTGTTTTGATTATCAATTGGAGCCACAGAGGGGTGAGCCTGACTCTCCCCTGGCAACCGTAGGAATCTAGAAAAAGGCTAATTGATAAATAGAAGTGTCTAAATTAAGAAAGTTTATCTCCAAAATATCAGTCTAGACACAGGCAATCGGCAGTTTTGGCTGCCTGTCTGGAATCTAAAACTCTGAGCCTAAATCAAAGGAAACCATACTATTGATAGCAAGAAGATAACAACAAAATATTTTGAAGTGTTTTTTTTCCAAGTTAGACATATAAAAAGTGGAGAGATATTTAGTTCTTGAAATTTGGTATTAAACTTTTCTTATGCTGTATCTTAAGAATTATAATGTATACTTGATGATTGCCAAGAGGGAAGAAAAGCGAACAGCAGAGCTGGTTGATCTGAACTCAGTGCAGTTTTCAATGGGAACAACAGCTGTCCAGCAAGGAGTCATATCATCCATTATCAGCGTCTACATTCAAAGGGCAGAGCTTTTTAGAACACTCAACCTCCCAAGGCACTAGGAATTTAGCTGAAACCAGCAGAATTGAAAACTCTGGCAATAAAATACAGACTCAACCGTAACCCTTCTGGCAATTTCCTTCTCAGAGAAGGAGGTGGGAGTTAAATGTTGCCTTCCCCACGTCTTATGCCACCACTGTCACAATGTCCCCGCTGGCCTGGCCAGTTCCTAGAGGGAAGGGTGGACTGGTTTTAGTACTCTGAAGAAAAACCAAGCTGCAGTATTTGAGGTGCAGTATGTTATTTCCTAATCTTTCCTATTTCTTAACAAAAAGATTTTAAAGTACTTCTCTAGTCATTGAGTTTTTGTTCTTTACATACTATTGATATATTCTTTTTCTACTCAAAGTGCCAAAGGCTACAGTTTTTAATGACTTAACAAATTGTACCACATTGTTAAGGAAATATAATGATAGACGCTAGAATTCAGACCTCTGCATGTATATTTGATAACACATCTTTTGTAAAAAATAAATAATTACAAAAATTTGTTTACATTCCACTGGTACCTTAATTTAAAATAAATCAGACTAACAGGTGGTATATCTTCTTAGTGTTCTATTTATTTTATTTGCTAATGAGAGCACTTCTTCTTTTGTTAGGCTGTGCTTTATTGATAAAGTATTGAATAAAGAGAGTTAATTATCTTTTTAAAGTAAATAAAATTATGAATATATAATATATATGAAGTATTGTGTTATGCAATGTTTTCCAAACTGATAAAGTTTGTAAAGTGCTATAAATGTATTTTGTTAAGTACAGATCAAAGCTATCGTGTGAGTATATTGTGCTAACATCATAGAAATAAAGATTAGATTTCTTCATCAAAACTGGAATATCGGGTTTTTCTTTCAGACAGGATAGGAATTGATAATAACTTGGAAAAAAGCTAAGGAAAAGTTTACATATGTAATATATATATTATATATATAATATATATGTAATATATACATATATATGTAATATATACATATTACATATGTAATATATATATACATACATACACATTGTGTGTGTGTGTGTGGGTGTGTGGGTGTGTGTATGTGTGTGTGTGTTGGCTAAACTCATGAGAAGAAAGAGTATTGCATAAAGGAAATTTGTCCAGATACAAGTTTCCTTGTTTGGAAATTTAATTTCAGAAGTCTAGAAAGATGTTGCATGGATGACAACATTCGTTTCTCTTCTATAGGAACTGAGCTCAGTTTCTAGCACCCACAGCAAGTGACTCACAGCTGCCTGTAACTAGACTCTCTCTCTCATCTTGCCTCTTTGATCACCTGTACACATACACACAAACAGTTAAATAAAAATAGATCTTTTTTAAATAAAAAATTTTATTATAGGATATATTTTATACTTAGGCATACTTTTCCACACTTCAATACGATAATATATTAGGAGCAGCCTTGCTAGGCCACAGAGGAGGACATTGCAGCCAGTCCTGAAGAGACCTGATAAACTAAGGTCAGATGGAAGGGGAGGAGAACCTCTCCTATCAATGGACTTGGAGAGGGACAGGGAGGAGATGAGGGAGGGAGGGTGGGATTGGGAGGGAATGAGAGAGGGGGCTACAGCTGGGATACAAAGTAAATAACCTGTATTTAATATAAAAAAATAAAAATTAAAAAATAAAAAAATGAAACATGAAAGTCAAGTAGTCTTCTCAATGATTGCTTTTCATGCCATTGTGAGAAAAATGCAGCTTTTCTTTAAAGAGTGCTTAACAGTTAACTCAGTTTTCATTCAAACTATTGGTGCCCACTCCCTGACTTTACTGATTATTTATTTCCTTAGACACTTTTAGCACAAGGTTTGAGACTACAACCAAGATTTATTCTGTGATTCAATGGTCTTCAGGTACTATGCTGTCTGAACACAAAATGGCAGGTATCTAGAAATACCACTAAGCTTATGTACTGCTGCTTAGACAATAGCCTTGCAGCCTACTATGAAATTATAGAAACATTCTGGTTTTACAGACATTACTTTCAGACCACAACGTGTGTCTCATAACGACTTAAATTTGGTTTTAAACTCCTTTGATTCTTGAATCTTTCAATTTCTAAATCAGCTATACATCTATTTGACCCTTTCTGAAGAATATACAAAAACACTTTCTAAGTTTCTATGGGTTAGCAGTACTGTTTTACTTGGGAAATAAAACTACTGATGTGGAAATAGAAAATGAACTATTCAAGCAAAATGTCTAATTAATACTGTCCCTTTCACCACAGGGTTAAAATAAATGAGCAAGTGTAGGCTGCCGAGAGCCTGTGTCAGTCACTTTGCCATATTCGGAATAGCGCTTCCTCAAGATCCAGCTATACCACTGCTAGGCATCTACCCAACATATGTGCAAGTTTACAACAGAGACATTTGCTCAGCCATGTTCATAGCATCTTTAGTCCTAATAGTCAGAATCCAGAAACAACCCAGATGTCCCTCAATGGAGGAATGGATACAGAAATTGTGGTAGACAACGGAAGGGGGAGAAAACAGGGAACAGGATAGGAGCTTACCATAGACGGCCTCTGAAAGACGCTGCATAGCAGGGTCTTCTGCTTCCGAGGTCTGTCCTGTTTGCCCTTATGAATGAGGATTAAGCATCTTCCCTAGGGTCCTCCTTGTTGTTTAGCTATAGATTTTAGTATGTTTATCCTATATTATATGGCTAATATTCACTTATAATCATTCATAATCTACCTATGGGCCTTAACTATATCACATTGCTGCAAAAGAAGCTAATAGATGTATTTTCTAGACAGGAAGCCTGGCCACAACTAAAATTCTGTCTTCTCCAAGTAGGCAAACAGTAGAAATGGTTCCAGGAGCTGTTTAAGTCCTCTTTATTCTTAAAGGCTACATCTCAATCTTAGCTCTAAGACCTGAGAAATCACTACTTCTGAAAACAATCTCGAGAGTCATGCATGTTTCACACATGAAGAAACAGAATATGTGGGAAGAAACTTATTTGTCTACACAAGTGTCACGTGTTGGGTGGGACCTTGGGGACAGGGACATGGTCTTTGGATGGCTCTTTAGTCCCTCTCCGGTCATTACTTCATCCCTCACATTGAGCAATAAATTTTGTCCCTCATGTGTTTTGACTGAATCTTTAAATACAAGTACCAACACATTTCTTCAAAGAAGAGTTTCTCCACTGCCTCTTTTATGAGAATGCTAGTAAATCTCTGTTGGACATAAGCAGTGTATTTGCTTGATCATGTGATTTATATCATCAAATGTTTAGATGAATGAGGCATTTAGTTTTTACTCACACACTATATTGAAAAGTCCTTAGGGGTTGAACCTCCACAGGGGTTCAAATGGTAGAAGAATAACTGAGTTGAACACTATGAATAAAGAAAGCAATGAAGTTACTAAATGATATCGTCTTTTCTATACAGGAAGGGAATTTGAAGTGCAAAAACAGAGGTTAGACAAGAGAGATGGTTCCATGGCTAAGAGCACTTGCTGCACTTGCACGAGATCTGAGTTCAGTTTCCGACACCCATCATAAGTGGCTCACAACAACCTGAAAATCTAGCTGTGGGGAATTTAACACCATCTTTTGGTCTCCATGGACACAGACACCAGTATACACATATACACATATGCACACACACATGCAACACAAACACAACACAAACATATTTTTAATTTATTACATGTAAATTAAAAACAGGAAAATAAAGGTTAAAACGTGTTTTCTGCATATGATTTAGCACTGGAGTTCCACCGCTTTCAAAAATCCACCTCCAAACTTTGAAAGTGAAATTGCACTATTTGTATTTTTCTCTTTCTTTCTCATCTGAAGTGTATTTTAAAAGTGTTTGCGTAGTATAAATCAGAGTTCTTGGAACAGGCAGTCTTCTTACAGTGCTTATGATTTAGCTTCAGTTGTTTGTTCAAATGTTCCCACCTCCGCAGTCAGCTTCATGGAGGAGGTGAGTAGAAGTAAACAGAACCTTCTCACTCTACTGTGTAAAACACCACACCTAGAAGGTTTAGAAAATCCTTTGAAATCAAGCAGCCAAGATTATTCTTTAAGCTCAAAATTGGACAGCCGAGGGCAGAACCTACTGGCTTTTCTATAGTGGCCTAGTAAGGCTGCTCCCCCCTCAGGGGAAGGTGATCAAAGAGCTGGCCACTGAGTTCATGTCAAAGACAGTCCCTGTTCCCCTTACTACGGTGCCCATTTGGACACTGAGCTGCCATGGGCTACATCTGAGAAGGGGTTCTAGGTTATCTCCATTCATGGAACTTGGCTGGACTATCAGTCTCAGAAAAGACATCTGGGCCCAGATTTCTTGGATCTGTTGTTCTCCTCATGAGGTCCTGTCCCCTCCATGTATATCTCCCCCTTTTTTCATAAGACTCCCTGCACTCTGCCCAAAGTTTGGATCTGAGTCTCAGCATCTGCTTTGATACCCTGCTGAGAAGATTACTTCAGAGGCCCTCTGTGATAGGCTCCTGTCCTGTTCCCTGTTTTCTTCCTCTTCTGATGTCTGTTCTGTTTGGCTTTCTGAGTGAGGATTGATCATCTTACCCAGGGCCCTCCTTCTTGCTTAGCTTCTTTAGGTGTTCAGATTTTAGTATGTTTATCCTAGATTATATGTTTAACATCCACTTATGAGTGAGTATATACCATGTGTGTCTTTCTGCTTCTGGGATACCTCACTCGGGATGATCTTTTCTAGTTCCTACCATTTGCCTGCAAATTTCATGACTTCCTAGTTTTCAATTGCTGAGTAGTATTCCATTGTGTAAATGTGCCACAATATTTCTTAAATACTGGAGCACTCTGGTTTGTCTCAGAACTCCTATAGTCAGGGTAGTTATAGGAACAGAATGAAAAACTATGAGTGAAACATTTACAATGCTTCATAGTTTTTACTATACACAGCATAAGTGTTAGTGTTTATCCTTATGTGTATTATTGGGCATAGATGTGTGCGCATGCCTGTGTTTACAGGTGTGTGTACACAGGTGTGCATGCATATATGATGTACATGCATGTTGGTCATAGTGGACAGAGGTTGGTGCCCACCATCCTTCTTAACTGCTTTCTACAATACTTTTGAGGAGACAGCGTTTCTTGCTAAACCCAGAGGAAACTGATTTGATTAGTCTGTCCTGTAAGCCCAAGGGATCCTACTGTCTCCATCTCCCTAGTCTTTGAATTACAGCCACTTAACATTGTGTGTTAGGAGGTGGAAGAAGAAGTGTGTGTGTGTGTGTGTGTGTGTGTGTGTGTGTGTGTGTGTGTGTGAACTCAGGTCTGTATGCTTGTATGGTAAGCACTTTATTGACTAAGCCTTCTCCTAGTCCAATTCTTATTTTATTTTACTTTAGATTCATTTAATTTTTTAATGCATGAGTGCTTGCCTGCATGTCTGTGTGTTCAATATGTGTATGCCTGGTGACTGGAGCTCAGAACAAGGTGTGGGAACTGAAGTTATAAAGAGCTGTGAGATGCCATGTGAGCACTGGGAATCGAACATGGGCCCTCTGAAACAGGTTCAGTGTTGCTCTCAACATCCAAACCATCTATTAAGTGATTTTTCAGATCTCTAGTCCTCTCCTCTCCCAAGATGCCTGGGCTCAATAATATGACTGCCTTGTTGATT